ATCAATGTTGTAACTACTAGTTCTGATGAAACTCAAAATCTTTTTGTTTTTCTCCTTATTTATTTATAATTTTATTGTGATAAAATATAAGTGATAGAAAATGTATCATCTTAATCATTTAAGTGTACATTTCAGTGGTATTAAATACATCCAAACTGTTGTGTGACCATTAGCACCTTCTATCCCGATAACTCTTTCCATCCTACAAAACTACAATAACTTTCATCCCTCCTTCCTTTAGGCTCTAGGAACCATGGTTTTCTTCTACGGTTTTCTAGGAAAGAATTTTTCTGCTAATTATTTTCATCTTTGTACATTCTGCATGCATTCCCCCTCCAAGGGAGGCTACAGGATGGGAAGGAGGGGTTCCTCCTGGTTTTGGAATACAGAGAGAATGACTTATAAGGGAAAGGGAGAGCTGGAAAGTGGGGTCTGCGGGAGTGTATGCAGATGGGCAAAAACTAATGAGGACCAGGAGGAGTTGTTTATTCTCTGTGAGATTTACCAAAACCCACTGACACATGGTTTTTAACAGGAGCTAGTGTCTGTGGTTTTGTGTGGTGGCAGTTGTGTTAGATTCTAAACTTTGGCTCAGAAGCAGTGTAAGGTTGCCCTGCCTGACACCTACCACACACTGGAGACAGGTGAATTGAAATCTCCCTCCCAGGAGGAAAATAAGGAAAACCCACCACTGATAAGTGCCTCTTTCTCTACCCACAGGTCCTGTACTTCAGGATTTTCTGGTCTGGCAACAGTGACCCTTGGCCTCCAAAGTCCCCTTCTGCAGACAAAGATCCCACTTCTCTCCCCCTGGAGCTCCCCAACTTGATCCACCTTCTATACTGGCCTCTGACCCCAGGAGATGGGGGGGACCTTTTGGCCTCCACCAGCCACAAGACCTCCACCTACCACCTGAGGGGTCCTGCTCAGGACACCTATGCCCTGGGAAGCTACCTGGAGGTTGTCCTTGTGGCCAGGGACCACCGGGGCAGGCCCAAGACCCATGGTGGGGATCTGTTTCAGGCACGATTGCTGAGTCCAGAATTGAGAGCAGGGGTCCCCGGGGATGTCCAGGATCTGGAGAATGGCACATACCTATTGTCCTTCCCTCTGCTCTGGGCTGGGAGGGCCCAGGTGCAAGTGCGGCTGATCCACTCCAGTGAGGCCGTTGGGGTTCTGCGCAGAATCTGGACAGAACACTGGGCCACAATTGATTTCATAGGCTATTTCCGGGGACCCAGGGGAGATGAAGAAAGTGTATCTTGCAATGTGAATCCCTTGTTGATCAGGGAGGAAAAATCCTTCTGTTACTACAAGGATGAAGATTCAGGTGAACTCTGGTATTGTGACCAGCCCCCTACCCTGGCCTGCAGCATGCTGGTGGGACATTCAGTTGGACATTACTGGAATGTGACCACATCTCATGAAGAGGCCCTGCTGGCTTGGTAAGAAAACCCAGAATCTGTACTGTTGTTTCTTGGCTTTTCCTTTAAACCCCAGCAGGTTTAAATTTTATAAATTAGAGGGCCACACATGTCACAAAGACACAAAAGCAGGCCTTTATAAAGCACAAAGTCATCTCTATTCCATAGGATCATTGCTCAGGACCCAGCCTAGACTCTCATTCCAAACCCTGGCACTCATGAACAGTGCTTCTCAGGTCCACTGAACTTGCTCCTCCTTTCTTTCTCTGTGCCCTAAAATTGGGAAGTCTGATGTTTGGTGAGATATGACACCACAGATGTACAAACATCACTTTATTGTGTGGCAATTATTTGAGTGACAGAGTTTTTAGGTATGAAAAAAGACAAGTTAATTAGGTTGTCAGATCTTTCCTGTCAGATTCTTGAATATTCATTTCCCAGGTATAGGAAAGAAGAAAGGAAGGAAGGAACCCCATATCATTAAGGGTCCCTGCCCAACCCTTAATCTTGGTCCCTGTAATTATTCTGTCTTGGCTCTTATTCTTATCATTCATCTCTTCACATCTATGAAACCCATTTCCTGAGCACTTACTATACTATACACCAGGACTCACGCTAAGTACTGACACACGGTAGATCATAGTCAGCATCCCTGCTCTCTCCACATTTTCAGTGAGGCATGTGACTTTTTAAAATATTTTTTTATTTGTAGTTGGACACAATACCTTTGTTTTATTTATTTTTTT